TTTACATTCTTTTTTCATTATCATTTATTCTATAAATAAATTAATAAGATTATTTTTTATGTATGCAAATGCTTCAAAATTTAAAAAGATTATTTCGATTATATTAATTAATTTGAAATAAATTCTAATATTATTTTTATTTTAAATAAGAAGTTCTTAAAAATCATATCATATGCTTTTATAAAGTCTGTCTCTAATAAATAAATAAAATATTAATAACATACCTTTATTTATTATGTGGTTTCTTAAATGACTGATATATTATCTAGTATGTATTAAAGTAATAAATAAGTTATTTGATGTAGATAGATAATATCTATAAGTATTAAGTATAGTCTTTTTTATGATTATTTTATATATTTCATATTTAATATATAAAAAGATAATAGATCTCTAATTTTATAAATATTTAAAATCTCAATTTTTTTTGAAATAATATAAATATATCTTTAAAAATAATTTTTAAAATGTGCACAAAAAATAAGGCTTTATTGACCATGTTTGTACATTCTTTTTATGAAAAAATCCAATTTGATTTTAACAAATTTTTGCCTGCTTCAATTTAATATATCACTTTATCTATTGATATATTTTCAAGTATCAATTATAGTTCATATATCAAAAGTAGTAAAATAAAAGTAGAATTTATTTTATTCTTAAGTTTGGTTTATATATTAGCCATCAAAGCATTAGAAGTTTTTATCTTTTAAGAAGGTATTTTTATTAGAAGTTAATTTAATATAAATTTTGTGGCATATTTATTCAATTTTTTTATTCATTTATCTTCTTTTTTTAGTTATTATATGATTTAAAAATCTTTTGTGTTATGTTTTCTTCTTTCATTTTTATTTTTTTATTTTTTTATTTTTTATTTTTTATTTTTTGAATATGTTTTTCTAAAAGATAGCCACCTAATACATGATTTATTTGTAATGTCTTTATATTTAGTCTTCAATGTTCTCCATTATATATTATATGTAGGTTAATTCTTTACAAGCATATATATTTTATTGATGTTTTTGAAGTTTGAATTGAGCTTATAATATATTTTTTCTTCTTTCTTTTTCTTTTTTAGTTTTCTAAAAAGCTTATCCTTTATAAAAGGATTTATAAAATTTACAAAAAAAACTATAATTAATTTTTAAAATACCATCTTTACTTGTATTGTGCCAAACTTGCCATAATTAATCTTTAACTCTTTGATCTTTGAAGTAGAAACATATCATCACATTATTACTTCAACCATCAATATTTTTCTAAATTAATTCATTGTTGATGTACCTAGATTAATTTATTTTTTTTACTTTTTATTTTTTATGTATTTTAATCTTTAGTTTTCACTTTAAGATATACTTGAATTGAAATGCTTACAAAGAATAAATTTATACGACATAATAATAAAAAATGCTTTATTACCTATATTTACTTTGTATTAAATTTTTGGAGCTAGTTACTTAGTTTATGTGAACTTTTGTCTTGTTTTTGCTTTCTTTTCTCTCTATTTCATCTAATCAATTCTTCTATTTAATAGTTGGTTTGTGTTTGCAATTATTCAATTGAATAAGTTTTGATCTTCAAAATCATGTATCAAGTTGGAGCTTGTATTGTGTGGATTACTTTCCTTCTTCAATTGAAGGACTATATTTGATGTCTCTACCAATGCTTATCTTTAGCTTTGTCACTTAGTACTTAATTCCATTTCTTCTAATCTTCAATTTTTTTATTTGCAATAATTCCAAGTTCTCTAAACTTCTGGAATTAAAGTTGATTGGTGGTTTTATATGAACAACATTACTACTATTTCTAGTTATCTTTAAATTAATAATTGATTGTATGCCTCTACTTCTTTAATCTCTTGATTAAAATAGTAAGTATTTTCTTTAGCTATTTTCCTAGTTTATTTCTTTTATTTTGTGGTTGTTCTAGATATGTCACTCTTGCTCCTTTAATTGTTGGTTCTATATATATATATATATATATATATTCATTTGTGATTTGACTTAGCTATAGTATAATTGTTTTTCTTATGCTATATTATAGTGTGGTTTCTAAATATATATATATATATATATATATATATATATATTAATTATATCACAGATATTTTGTATTATTAGTGTAATTTTGGTTTCACTAATTCTACATTTTTAATGCATGCTTTTATTGATTGATTTGGTTACAATGAAGATAAATAGTGTTGATGCTATAAGAAAAATGAAGATTATATGCACTAAATCTCTCATCTTATTGGATGATATGTCTAGGACCTTGGATCTAAGTAAATTAATGGAAACATTACATATTACAATAAATTTAAATAACATTATTTTAAGGATATTAGGTTTTAATCTTTGTGCATCTTCTTTGTAGCATATATTTATTTATGACTATTAGCAAAGTGTTCTTGTGCCTTAAAGATTGGGAATAATTTTTCTAATAAATTTCTTTTGTTGGATTCTTAACTACTTGTATATGTTGGTTTGATGTACTTTTCTCTGTTAAATGTAAGTTATGACTATTTGATATAATATAGTCAAAAGCCTTATCCAACTAAACTTCCAAAGTATTGTGTAATAATTTCAGTTGAATTTATTTTGACTCGTTGGCATTATTTGTAAGTCTGTTAGTTTGTTTATTTATTGTTATTGCTTTACGCATATTTTATCATTTAGCTTTAATAGATTATCATTTATTTATTTTTTATTTAGACACAAAAGATTTTTATCTAATAACTCTTCTAAGTTAATTGGAAGTAAATTGGTTGCATTATTTTAAGTTGATTAATAAGTATTGCTTATAAACTTTTTAGTAGTAGAATTAGTCTAATAGATCTTTATAGATTTTTTCCTAATTTTTTGTTCTACTTTATTTTATATTCTTATAAAACCTTTGCTAACAAATTTTTAGTTGCTATTATTATTTCTCTTGATGTTTTTTTTTTTTTTTTTTTTTTTTTTTTTTTGCTATACTTGTATTTAAATTTTTTAGTACATACTATTAATTATTTGTCTACATCTTATTTGGTTATTTTTAACTTAAGTACTTAATTTCTTATATTTAATTTATATTAGGACTCAGTAATCTTATATCTTTGCTCTTATATTTGTAAAAGAATTTTTTATCTAATTGATAAATTATTTTAGTCTATAAATATTAACTTCTTTCTATAAGTTACTAAATTTATCACTTATATTTCTAGCTCCCATTGTGTCCTAAGATTTAATATTGTAGCTCATTTACATTTCTATTATTGATTTATTTTTCGTGGGCTCTTATTTCTACATTTTTTATACTCTCTACTATCTTTACTTTACATGATGTTATTCTATGGTATATCCTATTGAAATATAAAAATATTATTAAAATTTAAAATTTTAATTCAATTCTTGTAATCTTACTATTTTACATCACTTTCAAACAACCCTTGTCAAAATAAACAGTATTCTTTGTATTTGACTTAGACCATGCTTACTAATTATGCTCCAACTATTGGATGCTACTACTATTCCATAACTTATTTTGTTTTATAATATTATCTTCTAAAGAAGAACACACCTTATGTAAATTGTTGAGTTGTTTGTTATCTTCCTTTGTTAGAATAAGAATTGATATTATGGATATAAAATAGATAGCAATTCTTTAGATAAAGTATTTAAACCATTATTTTATATCTAAGAAGTTCCAAATATAGCACAAAGTTCTTTAAAAAACTTAATTAAATATTTCTCATTACTATCAATACATAAGATTTAGTAATTTTGCTATTTTTATTTTTTAAATATATTTTATATTCTGAAATTTTTTGTAATATTTGGTGATAAAGTTTTAGTGAATATATTATTAAAAATCTATTATCATTTTCAATAAATTTTATAAAATACTTAAATATAATATGAACAAAATCAATGGAAATTTTATGTTAAAATAATAAGGTATAAAGATTTTATTATTGATATTTTATGTTGTTAATTTTTTTAAAATATATTTTCATAATTTAAAAAATATATAATAATCATTACAATATATATATATATATATATATATGTGTGTGTGTGTGTGTGTGTGTAATCATTGAATTAATGAAGTTGATTTATGCTTTTTTGCTAAAGCAATGGTTCTAAATTAAACTTAATTTTTATTTTTATTCATGTTCTTATTGCTAATAAAGTTATTTGGCCTTTATTGTTGATATTTTTTATCATAATTTAAAATAGCTAAAATATCATTTATTATTTTATATAAAAAATAATTTGCTATAAAAAAATCAATATTTAATTAATAGTATTTTAGTATTAAAAATTATATTTGAAAACATAGAATAAAATCTCTATGCAAGAGATTCCATCTTTTGCATACAAAACCACACTCCAATTAATTCGCAAAATCTACCTTAGCAATTTCTACTTTTCCAAACTTTTCTAAAAAAAATATACAACTTTTCACATGTTTCTAGATTAATTAATAAAAAAAATCTACCTAATCTTCACAACTTTAATACAAAAGAATCCAATTCTAACTCAATATTACACGTAATGAGTCTTAAAATCAAAACATGTGATTGATTTAGACATACACACACACACACACACATATATATATATATATATATATGGGAATGTTAAATAGACCCAAGTTTTTACTAAATCAACCTACCCATCCTAACCATCATGAAATTTCTAGATTCATTTTCCCATTATTGGGTGTGCAACCAATAAAAACCAACCACATTCATCATGATTACCATATTCTTCACAAGGATGGGTCTATTTAGTAAAAGCGTGGGTCTATTAAACATTCTTCTATATACATATTCACATACAAACATGAATGAGAAATCATGAACTGTGGATGAAAGAGCAAGCTTTATTTGGGCAAAGGGGTAGAAAGCTTGTGTATAGTGGAAAGGAAGCTTGTGGTGGGGGAGGAAGGTGAGGGTGGGGATGGAGTTTCCATGGCCCAGTGCCACCCCAACTGCCATCGCCGTTATACATGATGGGAATCATACAATCATAGCACTAATTCATTCACAGATCCTTTTAGCACTTTTTGGCGTGTCCGGAAAGTGCCCCCGCGGCTGCTCTCAGTCACACCAGCAGCAGCAGTAGCAACTCCCTTCTCTTCCCTCCTCCTTTCTTTTCCTGCTTATTTAGGGCTTGTCCTGGAGAGACGATTATATTGGTGGGGTGTGGCTGTGTTTTGGCGTAGGTGGGTCAGTCAGAGCACTATGGCAATCATCACGCACGCCGTGGTCGCCTCAGCTCAAGTTGCAGCTGCCCGGGGCGTGTTCCTGGACAGTGTGGAAGCTTCTGCTGCTGCTGCCCCTCCTGGTGGTGTGCGAAGAAGAGCCCTTGGATGCCAAAAGCTTGCGCTGAATTCTTCTTGTGAGGCTCTGGGCGGCTTGAGGAGGGTCGTTCCGTGCGGAAGCCCTGAGGGTCCGTGTAGGAGGAGAACGCCGTGCATTGTGGCAGCGAGTCCCCCGAATAACAATGCTGGCGGTAGCCGCAGTGGGGAGCCCCTCACCAGGCAGGATTTGGTGGGGTACTTGGCGTCTGGGTGCAAACCCAAAGAGAAATGGAGGTACATGCGTACGGTTTTTGGTTGTGCATTGCAGCTTCATGTCTTGGACGAAGACGAGGTATTGAGCGAAGAATTGTGAAATCTGAGCATGGCTGGAACGCGTGTAACGTTTGCTGTGAGGTGGTTGGGGAGTGTTGTAGAGAGTTGTATGAAGCAGAGATGATTCTAAGGGTTCGAGGTTTGCAGGATTGGAACGGAGCATGAGAAATTTGGGTTTCAGCTCGACAACCTGCAGCCCATGACTTACGCTCAAATCAGGCAGCTTTTGGAGGGCCTAGCAGACCGGTTTGAGTGGAAGAAAGTGATGGAGGGAGACAACATAATTGGACTGACATTTGTGAGCTCCGCAACTCCTTGGCAACGTTTCATTTCAGCTTGTAGCGGTATCAACCATTCCGCAGTAATTAGGGTTTGGTTAGAGTTTCTGCATTTGAGAGAGAGCGAACCGTAGAGAGCGATCGAGGATTTTGATTTCGTTCTGGTGATATTTATAGGATGGTCAAAGTGTATCTTTGGAACCCGGCGGCCAGTTTGAATTGAGTGGAGCGCCTCTGGAGACACTTCATCAAACATGCGCCGAGGTCAATTCACATCTGTATCAGGTATGGCGGGTTGTCCACCTTCTTTCATGTGAATATATATAAAGATTTTAATCATATCGTAATCTGGTCACATTTTGTAATTTTATTTTTGGGGCTGGACTGGGCTAATGAACTCCATTCCTATTCGACAAAGAGGGAGACTAGAGTTACAGCAAAAATCAGTAGGCGTGATGATATCTTGGAAATGTTCTTTAATGTCTTGACCAATATCAGAATTTTCGCAGGTGAAGGCTGTTGCAGAGGAGCTCGGCCTCGGCTTCGCAGGCATTGGATTCCAACCCAAGTGGAGTGTGGCAGAAACTCCCATTATGCCAAAGGTAGCTATTTCATACACAGCATCGTGTACATGTCTTGTGGAGCAGATGAACTTAGCTTGACCAGAAAAGCGAGCTTCACGCGAAGAATCTCATGTTCTGCTGATATCTGACATAACTTGCGAACTTCCACTTCCCTCCTGACTGATGCAGAGTCTATATTTCAACTGTTGGTGGTTGTGTGCCAGAAAGGCTGGAGGGATATTGTCCTGGGTGCCTTTTGGATCGTTAGTGAATGTTCTGCAATTTTTGGAAACAGGGCAGGTACGAGATAATGCGGAATTACATGCCAAAAGTTGGATCGTACGGCCTGGATATGATGTTTCGCACCTGCACAGTTCAGGTGCTTACACTACACCTCTTGTGGTTACAACTGTATTGAATGTTGATTTCTACTTTCCTGACTATGAGATTGCTGAACAAGTTTCGGTCGTTCGTGCCAACGATACATTCTTTTTCTCTCCCTGATTCAGTTGATTAGGAGTTGCCAAGTTTGTCATTGTTTCTTGATATTAACTGCAGGTCAATCTGGACTTTGACTCTGAGGCGGACATGGTTAAAAAGTTCCGCGTCGGGCTTGCCTTACAGCCTGTAAGTGCAGAGTTTCTTATTTTCTATTAAGGTGGCTTCTTTTGTCCATTATGTTGTGTACTCTATTCATCACCTGTTCACTTCGTTTTTGTGGTTTAAAATTATCTTTAAGTTCTGAGCATTGTTTTAGTTAGTATTTTTTAATTTTTATTCTTATCTTTGTGACAGATTGCAACAGCTCTGTTCGCAAATTCTCCCTTCACGGAAGGGAAGCCGAATGGTTTTTTGAGCTTCAGGAGGTGAGAGAAGTCGCTCGTTACTTCTTACCTCTCTCTAACCCTTCCGCCGCTGAACAAGAAAGCGACGGATTTGTATGTTGTGGCTCTTAGCATACACGACCAAGTGGAACAGGTTAGAGTGTCGGTTTGATTTACTCGTTGCCAATATCTGAAGTGGTAAGTGCATTTGGATTGGCTATTTTGCAGTCACATCTGGACAGATGTGGACAAGGATCGGTCAGGAGACTTACCGTTTGTTTTTGAAGATGGATTTGGGTGAGTAAATTTGACTATCATTTCGTTTTTCTTGAATTTTGTTTTGACTCTTGGATCTCGAGATTGCCAATTTAGAAAACATTTTAGCTTCAATTCTGCTCTGCAGCTGCCATATTTTGCTATCCACCATATTCTATATTCTTATGAGGTTTGGCTGCAGACAACTTGTCTAGATTGAGTTGCTGGTTGTTAGTACGTGCTCATTTTCTTATAATAGAACTGCTGTCATGCAGGTTCGAAAAGTACGTTGATTATGCTCTAGACGTTCCTATGTATTTTGTCTACCGTAACGGTCGGTACGTTGACTGTTCTGGTCTGTCATTTAAGGTAATTTACTTTGCCACAGCAGGCTTTAGCATGACAAGGCGTTCATTGCTAGTTTATTATACACGATTAGATTGCCAATTTTTTAATCATCTGTGTTGTGTAATGCTTCGGCTACCGAAGTTTCGGGTCTTTAGGGCACAAATCATTTCATCAACTTGGAGCATTGTATTTTGCAGGATTTTCTGGAAGGAAAGCTATCTGTTCTGCCTGGAGAGAGGCCTACACTGAGCGATTGGGAGAATCACTTAACAACAATATTTCCCGAGGTTTCTAGTCATTTTGTATTTCCCGTCTAATCTTTGAATACATGGATAATTATAGTGAGCAATGCTCGATTCTACAAGAAATCTCTTACCATTGTACTGAATTGCCCGGCTTATTTATTGTGTCTAGATTTGTTTCAGTCTTGCTGTTGGCGGACATTATGTACGTGTAAATTGATGGAGCATCATTTTTCCGCAGGTGAGGCTAAAACGTTATTTGGAGATGAGGGGAGCTGATGGTGGTCCATGGCGACGATTGTGTGCATTGCCTGCATTTTGGGTACGTTGACGAAGCTCATTATTCTTATAACGAAAACGGTGGATAGACTGAGCAACTTCCGACCAACTGAATATACTTGTCATAACGAGCAGTGTACTCAGACGAGTGGTAGCAAGCCTGCTTTGTTTACTCAAGAAATGCGTTTGTTGTTTGTAGACTGGCTTGTTGTATGACGATGAATCACTTCAAGGTGCTTTTGACATCATTAACGACTGGACAGAAAAGGAGCGTGCCATGCTCCGCAACAAGGTTTATACTCTTCTAATCATTTTTTTTCTAATTGCTTTACAGTTTCCTGGAAATTTTATTACATCGGTGGCTTTGTTGTAGGAAGTTAAAAGTTTAGGAAGTTGTTCAGACTGTGGGGACCCATTTTATACAAGCTGCTTGAGTTTATAAGGAACGTTGCTTTATGTGTAAACATTATCAGAAATGTTTCGCCACTCATTTAAATTATATTCCAGGATGGATACGAACGTTTTGAGGTACAGTAATGTACTAATATTGGTATTTTATACTTTCGGTGTCACTTAGTTTTTCAAGACATTTTGAAGACCTTACGTTGAAACCACATTGTACTGGTATTGAAAATGAATTATATGAATGTAGACACATTTTTACATCGCACAACATACATTCATACTGAGTCAGTATCGGATTAAGTTGGGGAACTTTACTGACGATTTGAATACAAAATCTATGAAATCATTACTGACATGATTGTCTATCAGGTCCCGAAGGAGGGTTTGAATGTTCCCTTCAGGGATGGGCTTTTGAAACATGTAGCACAAGATATCTTCAAACTTGCCAAGGTATGGACTTCAACTGCCAAGATGCTGTTCATTTCACATCAGTACACTCTGGACATTGATGGAAATTCTAACCAAACTGTGTTTATTTCACGAATAATCTGGAATTTTAATTCCATAAATTTTATGACGAATAGAGATCAGTATGATTTTGTATATTTGGTATGAATATTCTATCAATGCATTTTGAATTTCAAGTTCCTCTTCCTGAGTTTGGGCTGGGATGTAGGATGGATTGACTCGGCGAGGTCTTAACGAGGCTGGTTTTCTCAAAGATATTGAAGAGATTGTGCAAACAGGTCAAACTAAAATGCCGTTATCACTTACTACTCTGCATTTGGAAAGCCTGGGTCGGATCTGGAGATATTCTGGGTTCTTTACGATAGAACCATTTTCTCAGTTTTCTGGGTTCTGTTGTGTTGTGCACAGGTAAAACACCGGCTGAACGTCTCTTGGACCTGTATCACGAAAAATGGAATCGAAACGTTGATACCGTTTTTGAGGAGCTTCTGTATTAGTTGAAACCTCTACTTGGAGTATGCTTCTGAATCGGTCAAGATTATTGAATTTATGAAATACTTATGCGGTATTCAGAGTGTTACAGTAAGGTTAAATTATCAAAAAGGAGAAGAAACCTGGTAGAGCTCGGCACTTGATTACTCTCGGCAATGTAATGGGGACTATTTCTTTCAACCTGAAAAGACAAAGTGAAAGTTAAAAGAGTTTTTAAACTTCTAGAAAAACTTATACAGATCGTGTATGGTTGACATGCTTGGTCCGTGTGTAAACCAGATGTATGAAAGGAGTGGAAAGCTGGTGTCTGATTCAATGAACTGTCTCTTCTCGAACTTGTCTAGTTACAAGATTTCCCAAGTAGTTATTTCATTCATTTTTCTCCTGAGCATACTGATCTACAATTTCGCTTTGAAACTCTAGGCTTGACCTGGAAGGTACGGTATACTGTACTGCCGCACTTTCCAGGTCAAGCTTAGAGTTACCGGCAGGTTCAGGGTTTAGGGTCTAGTGTACGTTTGCTGGTGTAAGATAAAACGGTTGAATGAATTATTTATCTTCATATCAGGACATTTTACATTTCTCAACCAGGATGTCCATGATCACTAAATTAATTTATTTATCAAATTTATTCAAATACAAAAGATAATTTACATAATTTTAAAAAAAAATTGTCATTGTTTAAAGAAAATTTGCAATAGATGTAGAGATTTCAACTAATTACAATAAAATTTATTTTGTTGCTAGGACTGTTATCTTCCAATTTTTCTATTAGTATCTTTTACTAATAACTATTTACTTCATATTATATTTATAGTTTATTTTTTTATATGTAAATGCCACTTTTAAGCCAAATGTAAAGAATTTTTTAATTAGTAATAAAGTTAATATAGAAAGTGATATATATTTCAAAAGTGGTGCTAAAAGTGTTTAAAATTAATATATGTAAGATGTTTAAACTAACTAATTTTCTTATACATCTATATGTTGTAGATTCAATTACTAGGAGGCTATAACATTTTCATAGAAATGTTAAACCTACAATCTCAAGTCAAGGCTCCAAAGTTCAATATCCATAACCATGTAAAATCTAAAAGGACTAATACAATTCATCATTAATCTTTTTGTTTTTAAAATTTTGAATTTATTTTTATCCCAATTTTCAAAGTTTTTGATTCCTCTAGTATAATCAAAATCTTAGCAAGTCTATTGTTTAAGAGATACAAGATTGTCAAAATTGCAAATTCTCTTTTTTTATGCTATGTGAAAAAAAAAAACAAAACAAAACAAAAACAAACAAACAAACAAAATTGCATTAAAACTTGTTGACACTATGATAATGAAATAAATAACTTATAGAAGCATAGGTTTAGGATTTATGACTAAAGATTTGGAGTTAGGATTTAGGTTTTAGAATTTAGAAATTAAAATTATATGGGTGTCTTTGATTTTTTGACCTCCTTATATTTTGATTTTGACTTGATATCTCTTTTCAATTGTGGTGTCTATATTTCCAATTATATAAATAACTTGTTCTACAAGTTTTTAGTTTGCAAGATATTACAACTTTGACTTGGATCAAATATGTATTTTAGTCAAAAAGTGTATAGATTTATAAATATTATGGTTTTCATTATTTTGGTCTTTGAGTTGATTTTGCAAATGATTAGAATTTTGTCAGTTTGCATTTGTAAGTTTGCATTTGACCTAATTGCCCATTTCTGGGATCTGAAAACTTAAAAGTCCATTTAGAATGATCTGTAGTATTTTTAATTCTTATATAAAAAAAACTCTAATTTGATATTTTTGTTTTTTTTATTTTTTTGTCTTTTTGAAATTTTGAGTTGATCTACATCTCTATTTTTTATACTTTTAATCCTAATGGTACATTTGAAATCTTAAGCAAGTGTATAATTTAGAAATTATAATTTTTTTTAAATTATAATTAAATATCCTTTTTTAAACTATGTAGAATAATATATATATATATATATATATATAGATAGAGAGAGACTTGTTAAAGCCACACCTCCCTTTTCACCTCATGATTCAATTTTTTCTTGATTCTTCTATCTCGTCTCTACCATTTTGGTTCTAGACCATGCCTCTCTATTCTTGCCACGCTATCCCTACCTCCTATCTCAAACCTTCCACTTCTACCTGCCACCTCAATCCCAACTCTTCTTCCTTGTTCTACCACCTCGTGCCTACTCTCTCCAATCCCCTTCCCCCTTCCATTTCCATTATCCATAGCATGTCACATTGAATGCATGTATAAAAAATAAAAATCTCATATTAGTTTTTTTGAGTGAATTTAAATACATATAATAATCTATATATTCTATTTAAATAGCACTCAACTTTTATTTTTTTAATTTTTTATTTTGTGATTAATCAAATATAGTATTCTATAAAGTAATATTTTTTAAAATATTTGTTTTAAGTTTTATTGAAGATCTTCAGATTTAATATGCATTCTCATTCAAATATTATACATGTTGCCATTCATAATAAACATGCATTTTAAAACTTGAGCTTTTCAATATAATATGGAACTTACTCTAAATCACTTAAATATACAAACTTTATAGATTTATTCTTATTTTTTACTCTTATATATTTCAATAAAATAGCTAATTTTCTTATCTATTGTTTTCTTGTAACATGTTGCATAATCAAGTAATTTTAAGAATAATTTGTAAAAAAAATAGCATATAAATTAAATATTATTATTTAGAAATTTAATACTAATATCTAATTCTTTTCATAATTATTTGATGAAAGCTTTCATAATGATAATTTGGTATTAATTTCTTATATTTTTCTAACATATGAATGCATGTACTTAATTAAATATAATAATTCCTATAGCATAACAATTTTTAAATACTTGTCATTTTTACAAAATTTATAAGAATCTTGTAAAACTATTTAAATAATTCATGTCAAAACATGTTGAAACTTCTTTTTAAATTTTAAATTTAAAACTTCATGGTCTTATTAATAGATTATTTAAAAATAAAAATAAATCAAATATTTTTTTTGGAATTTATGATTTATTTAAAAATATTTTTTTTATTATATATATATATATATATATATATATATATATATATATATATAAATCTTCCTATTATTTAATTGAATCTAATGCATGTGATGTCTATTCTTTACTAATGCCATTGTCAACAAATCAACAAGCATGTCTTCTATTGTATAGTATTTCATATCAATCACTTCTATTTGAATCTTCTTTTTTATGAAGTGATGTTGATTATCAATGTAATTGGTCTTTGAATGATGCTTTGGATTCTTTGAAAATGCAAGACATCCTTGATTGTCATACTTCATTGAAGTTGTTTTCATTTGTACTATACTTATGTCCTCCAAAAGTTGTCTTAGCCATATTGCCTCTATTGCACCATAACTTGTTGCCATATATTCTGCCTCTATTATTAATCTTGTAATTATTGGTTGTCTCTTACAATTCCATGAAATAATTCCTATTTCAACAAAAAAAAAATATCCCATTGTTGATCTTGTATCATTTGCATGTCTAGCCGAATTTGCATCACAATAACCATACAAAGTAATATTATCACCTCTAAAACATAATTTGAAATGCAAAGTGCCTTTTAAGTACCTCATACTTTTTTTTGATGGTTACCCAATGGATTAGTTGAGACTTTGACATATGTTGGTTCACAACACTCACCATATATGCAAGATTCACCCTTGTACCAACCATTGCATACATAAGCAAATCCACTCCTGCCATGTATGGATTATCTTATATTTGACCTTCAATTTCAATAAATTCTTCATCTATGAGCTTCATCCACTTCAAATTGACTTTTAAAGGTGTTTCGATGGGCTTACATTTCTCCATGTTGAATCATTTTAACACCTCTTTAATATACTTAATTTAGTTTATTATAATAGTCTTCTTAGGACAATCTCTTATAAACTCCATTCCTAAATAGTAAAGAAGCTCTTTCAAATCGCTCATCTCATACTTCTTTTCTAACTTTGCCTTCAAGCAATCAAACATCTTCAAAATATTGGTTAAGATGACCAAATCATCAACATAAATAATGATAATTAATATAAGTTTACTTGATTATATCACAAATATGGAATAATCAACTTAACTTCTTTCAAACCCTTCATTCAAGAAGAATGTGTCAATATATTGATACTGGATCCTTGGTGATTGCTTAAGTCCATATAAAGATTTTTTTAATTTATAAATAAGGTATTGTTTTCTTTCTTCAAAAAATCCTTGAGATTGATCCATATAGATATCCTCTTCTAATCTTCCATTTAAAAAAGCCATCTTCACATCCATTTGATGCATCTTCAAATCTATTACTACTGCAATTGCCACAATGATTCTAATTGCATTGAATTTGGCTAGGGGAGCAAATATCTCATTGAAATTAATACCAAAAACTTGTGAGTAGCCTTTGGCAATGAGTCTAGCCTTATATTTCATAATATTTTTCATTATATCTTTCTTGATTCTAAATACTTATAACTATTTCAAGATTGATTTGGTGGAAGTTGAGTCATTTCCCATATTTCTATATTAAAACAATAACTCGATACAAGGTAAGAAGGTCCTCGCTAGACCATAAGAAGTGAATTGTCGAGATTGAGGATCTCCTTAGCCTCGACTCTTATATATATTAGGTCCTATAAAGCTTCTTGAGAAGTTTTTATGAGGCTTGGAAACAAAGCAGGCATAAGATCCTTCTTCAACAACTTCATAAATCATCTAAAGTCTCCTAGATCCTTCCAAGATCTCCTAAGACCTTTTAGAACTTTCTTAGAATCTATTGGAACTTTCTAGAACCTTCTTATAACCTAGTTAAACCTTCTAGGATCTACAAGAACCTACTTAAAATCTTCTAAAATTTCTTAGAATCTTCTCGAACCTTCTTCAATTGTATGTCCATGACATCACCTTTTCTTCTAACTTTGAGGTCTTTGAGAAGCAATGTTGTTACAAGTCAGTATATGTACAAGAAGTTGAAGATTTGTCGCATATTGTCCGCTATATATTTCAATCATTTTTCATGAGGTAAATGGTTGAAAGGCCCTTCTAGCAATTGATAGTGTCCAAAGTTTTTTACTTTTGATTAAGCATGAACTTTGATATCTTCATTGTGGAATTATCTTACAAATACTCTTTCTAGGCATCCTTCATAGACATATTCTATCTCAAACATAATTA